AAGTCCCCTTTTATAGATTCTCATTTACTAAGGGCTCTACATGCTTAATTTCATGTTTCTAGGTTAAATTTTATAGAAAACTCAAAAAGTACCAGTCGAAGGACGAAAAAGTACAAAAAAGTCCCCTATTATAGATTCTCATTTACTCTGGGCTCTACATGCTTAATTTCATGTTTGTAGGTTAAATTTTATAGAAAACTCAAAAAGTACCAGTCGAAGGACGAAAAAGTACCAAAAAGTCCCCTATTATAGATACTCATTTACTCCGGGCTCTACATGCTTAAATTCATGTTTCTAGGTTAAATTTTATAGAAAACTCAAAAAGTACCAGTCGAAAGACGAAAATGTTCCAAAAAGTCCCCTTTTATAGATTCTCATTTACTCCGGGCTACATGCTTAATTTCATGTTTCTAGGTTAAATTTTATAGAAAACTCAAAAAGTATCGGTCGAAAGACGAAAAAGTACCAAAAAGTCCCCTTTTATAGATTCTCATTTACTAAGGGCTCTACATGCTTAATTTCATATTTCTAGGTTAAATTTTATAGAAAACTCAAAAAGTACCAGTCGAAGGATGAAAAAGTACCAAAAAGTCCCCTTTTATAGATTCTCATTTACTAAGGGCTCTACATGCTTAATTTCATGTTTCTAGGTTAAATTTTATAGAAAACTCAAAAAGTACCAGTCGAAAGACGAAAAAGTTCCAAAAAGTCCCCTTTTATAGATTCTCATTTACTCCGGGCTCTACATGCTTAATTTCATGTTTCTAGGTTAAATTTTATAGAAAACTCACAAAGTATCAGTCGAAAGACGAAAAAGTACCAAAAAGTCCCCTTTTATAGATTCTCATTTACTAAGGGCTCTACATGCTTAATTTCATGTTTCTAGGTTAAATTTTATAGAAAACTCAAAAAGTACCAGAAGAAAGACGAAAAAGTACCAAATAGTCCCCTTTTATAGATTCTCATTTACTAAGGGCTCTACATGCTTAATTTTATGTTTCTAGGTTAAATTTTATAGAAAACTCAAAAAGTACCAGTCGAAGGACGAAAAAGTACCAAAAAGTCCCCTTTTATAGATTCTCATTAACTAAGGCCTCCGCATGCTTAATTTCATGTTTCTAGGTTAAATTTTATAGAAAACTCAAAAAGTACCAGTCGAAGGACGAAAAAGTACCAAAAAGTCCCTTTTATAGATTCTCATTTACTCCGCGCTCTACATGCTTAATTTCATGTTTTTAGGTTAAATTTTATAGAAAACTCAAAAAGTACCAGTCGAAGGACGAAAAAGTACCAAAAAGTCCCCTATTATAGATTCTCATTTACTCTGGGCTCTACATGCTTAATTTCATGTTTCTAGGTTAAATTTTATAGAAAACTCAAAAAAGTACAAGTCGAAGGACGAAAAAGTACCAAAAAGTCCCCTATTATAGATTCTCATTTACTCTGGGCTCTACATGCTTAAATTCATGTTTCTAGGTTAAATTTTATAGAAAACTCAAAAAGTACCAGTCGAAAGACGAAAAAGTTCCAAAAAGTCCCCTTTTATAGATTCTCATTTACTCCGGGCTCTACATGCTTAATTTTATGTTTCTAGGTTAAATTTTATAGAAAACTCAAAAAGTACCAGTCGAAAGACGAAAAAGTACCAAAAAGTCCCCTTTTATAGATTCTCATTTACTCTGGGCTCTACATGCTTAATTTCATGTTTCTAGGTTAAATTTTATAGAAAACTCAAAAAGTACCAGTCGAAGGACGAAAAAGTACCAAAAAGTCCCCTATTATAGATTCTCATTTACTCTGGGCTCTACATGCTTAATTTCATGTTTGTAGATTAAATTTTATAGAAAACTCAAAAAGTACCAGTCGAAGGACGAAAAAGTACCAAAAAGTCCCTTATTATAGATTCTCATTTACTCTGGACTCTACATGCTTAAATTCATGTTTCTAGGTTAAATTTTATAGAAAACTCAAAAAGTACCAGTCGAAAGACGAAAATGTTCCAAAAAGTCCCCTTTTATAGATTCTCATTTACTCCGGGCTACATGCTTAATTTCATGTTTCTAGGTTAAATTTTATAGAAAACTCAAAAAGTATCAGTCGAAAGACGAAAAAGTACCAAAAAGGTCCCCTTTTATAGATTCTCATTTACTAAGGGCTCTACATGCTTAATTTCATGTTTCTAGGTTAAATTTTATAGAAAACTCAAAAAGTACCAGTCGAAGGACGAAAAAGTACCAAAAAGTCCCCTATTATAGATTCTCATTTACTCTGGGCTCTACATGCTTAAATTCATGTTTCTAGGTTAAATTTTATAGAAAACTCAAAAAGTACCAGTCGAAAGGCGAAAAAGTTCCAAAAAGTCCCCTTTTATAGATTCTCATTTACTCCGGGCTCTACATGCTTAATTTCATGTTTCTAGGTTAAATTTTATAGAAAACTCAAAAAGTATCAGTCGAAAGACGAAAAAGTACCAAAAAGTCCCCTTTTATAGATTCTCATTTACTAAGGGCTCTACATGCTTAATTTCATGTTTCTAGGTTAAATTTTATAGAAAACTCAAAAAGTACCAGTCGAAGGACGAAAAAGTACCAAAAAGTCCCCTTTTATAGATTCTCATTTACTAAGTGCTCTACATGCTTAATTTCATGTTTCTAGGTTAAATTTTATAGAAAACTCAAAAAGTACCAGTCGAAGGACGAAAAAGTACCAAAAAGTCCCCTTTTATAGATTCTCATTTACTAAGGGCTCTACATGCTTAATTTCATGTTTCTAGGTTAAATTTTATAGAAAACTCAAAAAGTACCAGTCGAAAGACGAAAAAGTACCAAATAGTCCCCTTTTATAGATTCTCATTTACTTAGGGCTCTACATGCTTAATTTTATGTTTCTAGGTTAAATTTTATAGAAAACTCAAAAAGTACCAGTGGAAGGACGAAAAAGTACCAAAAATTCCCCTTTTATAGATTCTCATTAACTAAGGCCTCCGCATGCTTAATTTCATGTTTCTAGGTTAAATTTTATAGAAAACTCAAAAAGTACCAGTCGAAGGACGAAAAAGTACCAAATAGTCCCCTTTTATAGATTCTCATTTACTCCGGGCTCTACATGCTTAATTTCATGTTTCTAGGTTAAATTTTATAGAAAACTCAAAAAGTACCAGTCGAAGGACGAAAAAGTACCAAAAAGTCCCCTTTTATAGATTCTCATTTACTCCGGTCTCTACATGTTTAATTACATGTTTCTAGGTTCAATATTATAGAAAATTCAAAAAGTACCTTTTGAAGAACGAAAAAGTACCAAAAAGTCCCATTTTATAGATTCTCATTTACTCCGAGCTCTACATGCTTAATTTCATGTTTCTAGCTTTAATTTTAAAGAAAACTCAAAAAAGTACCTGTGTAGAACGAAAAAGTAGCGAAAAGTCCCTTTATTATTAATTTCATGTTTCTATTTCAATATCATAGAAAACTCAAAAAGGACCAGTTGGAGAATGAAAAGTACCAAAAAATATCACTTGGTACCGGGGTTCCAAATAACACCCCATTAGGATATGTAGTGTTTTTAAATTTAAAAATTTTATCTAAATTCGATCATTGTGGTTGAATAAAATCAAATTTCCCATTTTTACCCCTTTTGGTACTTTTTTCCTCCCCATTAACGAAATAAAAATTCTATTCCAAAAAGTTGCAACATCGTAGTGGGAGCCCCTTATTATGTATTCATATGTATAAGTTAATAAACCAAAAACAATGTTTTATGAAAAAAGTACCAAAAATAGGTAAAATTTTAACCCCTTAAACGTCCGAATATCCAAAAAGTACTAAATTCATATTTTTATTTTTTCGTTAAGTTATGAAGGAGTCAAAAATATTTTTTGAATGTGCACTGGTTTAAAAGATACATGGGGTGCGAAAAAAGTACCAAAATACAGTTTTTACCCGTTTATTCCCTAAAGGGGCCGAATTTTAAAAAAGTACCAGACACCTGTCCGTTTATTTTTTAAATGAACGGCGATAAGCTTTAAACTGTTTTTGTATCTTTTCTAGTTTAGGAGATATAAGGTTACCGAATTTACCCGTTTTTACCCTTTTTTACCCCCTAAACATTCGAATTTCCCCCTAAACATTCGAATTTCCAAAAATCCCGTCTTAGTGGATCTATTTGGCGGGAGACCAACCTCCTGTCCAAATTTCAGCTCTTTAGCTTCAACCGTTTAGGCTGTGCGATGATGAATCAGTCAGTGAATCAGTCAGTCAGTCAGTCAGTCAGTCAGTAACGTTAGAATTTTATATATATAGATGAATTACTAGAATGAGTCAAGATTTCGGTCCTTCGACTACAAATACATATCATCTGGATACAACAAACATACAGTCAGATAGACATCCTTAAATCGACTTCGCTTAATTAAATAAATCGACAACCCAAAATGAAATATGTCGAATGAAAAGAAAACGATAAAAATCATAAATTTTTTAATATTTTCCACTGCCGATAGATTGTTTACGGTTTACAACGAAACCCGACGGAATTTAAAATAGAAATATGTACAGTAATTCCTCTAACTAATCTTTAGTTTGCTAGTTTTGAGATTTTAGTAGCATGAACTAATTCAAATATTGAGCTAAAATAATGAAAATACACTGTTCTTCTATTAAAAATCTGGCATCCTTAACCATACTCATAATATCGGTACCGAACTGGTAACCAATCAAAATCAATATCCAAAAATAGATTCTAGTCACTCAGAAAAATATGGTAAAGAGAATCCAAATGTAAACAAACTCAAGTGTTCTTTTAGGGATTATAAACTCTCTACAATTTAGACAAAATCAAATTGAATGCATTTGTACAATGTGATGCGATTGGTCCAAAATTATCTCAAATCTTGTGTGTGTGTGTGTTTATAGCACTTTATAAATTTTAACACAACAAACTGAATAGATGATATTGTTTGAATAAAGATTTCTGTTTATTTTACTCTAACCCGTTATACGGACTGCATACACAATATAAACTATACGCGGCCAGTATCCGGGGAGAACAGATCTCGATATATGTATTATTAGTGTTGGTTATATTAGCATAAAAGAGTGAGAGAGTAGAGGATCAATACCTTCATGTTGTTTGTCATTAAAGACGATAATATCAATTGATCGATGCCACGCTTACGGATCATTTCACACTTAACAAGCAAACTAGAATAATCGAATACGGAATATACTAAAAACACAGAAGGAATACGAAAAGAATTCTAAATTAAAGAAACAAAAATATGCAAATAGAGTGTCAATACAACGGATCAACAACAAATCACAACTAAATACATATAAAAAAAAAAAAAAAACAACCGTCGCTCTGACTATATAGAATTGTTGGTTGGTGATAATGATGAGTTGCTCGACATAACAATTGTGATGAAATGATATCAAATGTGTGCGCCTATCGGTCATGAATGAGTTGTTGAAAGTTTAATTAATTTCGATCAATTCAGTTCGTTCGCTTAAATTTTTTGCTTGAGTGTGAAAAGTGTCAAAATAAAAATTTGCTAAATCGAATAACAGTGATGATTTTGTGTGTGAATATTTCAAATTAACAAGTGAAATTTAAATTTAAAGATTTTTAAAAATAATCAAAACAATAATAAAATTAAATACACTTCAGGTGTTGTCGAATTGATTGATTACTACAAAGCAAAAAAAAAAAAACAGAAATACAAGAAGAAGAGTAAAAAGTTTTCTACAAATAATTAATTAAATTAAAATCAAATTAAACAAATTTAATTAGTGTTAATTACAATTAAAGTGCAAATATCTTGACACTAATATGAGCTAAATGAAAGACATTTGAAATATCTACTACATACGATTTTTCAAAGAAGAAAATACAATTTAAATAAAATATAATTAGTTTAAAAACAAATAGACGTAAATAAATAAATATAGAGAAAAAAATAAAGAATTTAAACATAAATAAAACGAATATTTTGTGTGCGAAAAATAAAAGTAAATTTGAATTAGAGAAAAAAGAACTGTGTTATGCATCAAGCTGTTTATATGAGACCTTCATCGAATATCATGGGTCCCACGGAATGTACGAGTGCAATTATGTCATCCATGTCTTTTATTGATAATAACGGATTAGGTGCCAATATAACGGATTATGGTTGTTATACCACAGATCCATGGTCCACACCCTATATGAGTAGTTTAAGTCCAATGAAACAAATTGAAGGTAATTGCTTCTTTTCTTAGATTTTAATTATATAATATTCGTTATTGAAAAAGAAATCTAGTGGATTTTAGTTTAAACCCGATATAGATAAGTATTTCGGCCCCCGTGAATAATATGAAAAAATATGCTATTACATTAACTGCGCTATATCCGAATGTGGCCTCAGAATAACTGCAAATCCCGTTTATGACCATATTTGAGTTCTTATAAAATCCTTAAATCTAAAAGTCCAATTTGTAGACTTTAAAATAAAGGTTTAACCTATATATTCAAGCTTTTTCGAGATATCGAAAACTTGAAACAATTATAAATCCCTGCAAAAATGCCACTACTTAGCACATACGTGTAAAGAGTATTCCTCACAGGACTAAGATTGGTCCAAAACTATTCCATATATATGGGAAAACTTATTCCATATAACATTGTGATGTACTAGGTAAGGACCATATAATCCATGCATGCATTATATCAGAGAAATCCCAAAACTACTTCCTTCCTAAAATTATGGAAGTACATTGTCCTATTACAATACAGGCTATGGACTAAAACATGATCCCTACCTGCATTACATACGGATCATGTACTACAATAATATTTACTAGGGAGTCGTTTTGGTATTACTTATATGTACTTCAATAATTTGAGACATAAGTTTGTCAAAGGCGAAGTGGAGCTAAATAATTTGATTTTGTCATTTTATGCTTGTTTCAAGCATTAAAAGATATCTCGAGGAAGCCTGAAGATATTTTTATTTTTAAGTCGATAGATTGGACTTTCACTTGACTTAACCCTGATTTTATCAACAAAGAAAAGCACAAAGTCTTCGCGCTGCAATAACGGCACAAATATCGTAAAAAAGGGAGATTTATAATTTTGAAGGACACAATATCTCAAAATCCTGATTTAGAAGTTCTGATTGATTCAAATACAGTTATTTGCTAATTCTAGAAACTTAGCTTCTAAGCTGTCATTTTGGACCTTCTATAAGTTCTTAATGAACGTGTGTTTTACTATTCAATTATTAGCTCCTATTACAATAGTTTCAGGGGGGAATACAATCTGCTTTGTTAAATTATCTGTAATTTGACAATGACTAGTCAAAGTACTGGAAACGTTTCGGAGAGTATATCTGTTTAAATCGGGAAAGTCCTAAATCTTTAATAAATCATAATTTTGTGTGGTTGTTATCAGTTTAAGGTCTGATCAAGAAGTCTACTGTTTATCAAACAAAACCCGATAACATTAGATTTCATAACACCAATGTATTTTTTGCGGTTTCAATTTACCGATATTTAGTCTTAATATCACTTTTAAAGTGAATAACTCTTCCTTGAAATAATAGGCACTCGATAAAAGTTTAATCAATGATATCAGCCCCGTTAAAATGTTTCTTGCACACGTTTAAAGCAGGATTTAATTTACAATTGATACGCAAATTCTCCATTTATTAAGGGAACAGAAGTGTGATGACCGCTGGAATCAACAGATTTTTCTATTATCGACCGATGAAGTATATAATTATATATAACCTACAAAAATTAAGGGACGTGCTTTCAACGCTGTCTTTTATTGAAATAAACCCCCTTTTGTAAAAATTGACAAGTAAAATTTCCCGGCTTTGTGATGTTATAAAAGAATCGGAATTAGTTCCGATAATTCGAGTTTTAGAACTAAATATGACGTTTCTTAAACGCAATAAAGCATCTAAAGTCTTTACACGGTTTCAGATCAATAATTTTATATAGAAAAGTAATAAAACAAAAATTTTCTTCGTTTTCTATTTTCACACCCCTCAGATGGTTAAATATCATAAACATATCATCATGAAAAATTGAAATTATTTTGAAGCACTTAATTAGCAATTTATAGTAATATTTGTAGTGTTGAGTGACAATTTTCTACCGACGCCACACGTAAAATAAAGTTCTTGTTTTTGTTTTATTCTCCTCCTTTTGAAAATATGTACATATATTTTCTGATGTTGAAAATAACAAGTTGTATTTCAGCTAAATTTAGCCGTAGCGCAATGCCACAATTTGTAGCACATTTTTTGTATTTTGGTTACTCTTGATTAAATGGAAAAAGTGCAGCAGATAATAATAAAGAATGGTGTGTTAAGGGAAAAAATAAATATTTTCTGTAAGACATGGAAATGAATAAAAAAGGAAAATCATTTAATCAGTTTATTTTGGGTAGACTAAAAGAACAAAACTCATTAAAATTTGAAGAAATTTTTATTGGGGGGTAAATGAAAGTTAGGTGCTACTGAGTATTATTTTTCAAAATATATAGTCTCAACTATTGAACAATATAAAGTCTTGATCTTAAAGTCCTGAGACATTTATTTAAATCAATACTGATCTATAGTCTTGACTTTAGGACGATCTAAAGTCTTGAATATAGACTAATCTGTAGTTTTTATTATAAACTGACCTATAGTATTTACTGATTTATAGTCTTGACTATAGACTGATCTGAAGTCTTGACTATATAGATATAGAGAGTCTTGACTATAGAACGATATAATGCCTTGATAAAGACTTATCTATAATCTTGATTACATACCGGACGATCTAAGGTCTTGACTATAGACTAATCTGTAGTACTTACTATAAACTGATTTATAGCCTTTACTATAGACTGATCTACAGTCTTGACTATATACTGATCGAAAGTCTTGACTATAGACAGATCTATAGTCTTGACTACAAACAATTGTATAGTATTAACTACGGAATGATCTATAGTCTTATCTATAAACCGATCTATAGTTTTGACTTCAGACTGATATATAGACTGACGACAGTTCAATACTAATTTTAAAAAGTTCATATCGTTTTGTTTCCATTCAAGCTTTTGGAATCAATTTTCTTAAAATTTCAAAGATCAGTTGATATTTAGTTATATTCCAGTTACGAAAACACCAAAATTAAATGATTACCCCCAATAACAAAAGTATAATATGAAAATATTGAAATAATTTTACGGCATAATTAATCGAATAATAAATAATATCATACGCATGACATGACAGAGGGCATAAATTCACAACCAAAAGAAGTGAGAGTGATAAAAATTTTTTTATTAATTTTTAATAATAAACACTTGTTTTAAAATAAATTTCTTATAAAACAGAAATTCTTTTGAAAATTCCAAAAAAGGGAAAAACTCCAATAAAATGTTTAATATATGCAGATATTATCACTTTAGCGTGTCAATGTCATTGTTTATGACCCATGACATGTTTTGTCCCATCAATTTGGTGGTGAATGTCAAACCCAAAAAAGAGAGAAACTAAATTTATTGCATTCACAACTACATTTATAACAAAAGAGTCTTTATAAATTTAATTGGGGAAATCGTCTGATCGTTTATTCCGAACTTCGAAAGAGACTAAAAGAAAAATGGTACACATTTTTTTATTGTTCTTGCATTTAATGAATTCGAAAATCAATTAGTATTTGGCACAAATAATTGTTTTTCTGTCAAGCTTGACGAGAATCCCCAAACAAATTAGTTGTAATAGGAATAAATAGATCTGAAAATTGTTCTTTACTTTTTGGTTTGAACGAAAAGAAAACTTTTTTTAGGGAAGACTAAGAATGAATGTGATTTAAACATACTCCAGGGAAGATAAAATACAATGTTGCTGAAAGATAGGAAATTTAGGAAATATTTAATTGGAATTGTGTTTATTCCTCCCAAAAAAATATATAATTTCAATAATCTTGACTACAGACTGATCAATAGTCCGATCTTTAGTTTTGACAATAGACTGTACTGATTTTTAGTATTGACTGTAAACTATAGACTCTATAGTTTGGTCTGAAGACTTATTTATAGCCTTGACTATAGACTAATCTATCGTCATAACTATAGCTTGATATATATTTTTGACTATAGACGTATCTCTAGTATTGACTATAGACTGATCTATAGTCTTCACTAGAGTTTATAGTCAAAACTATAGTTGCGTCTAAAATCTGCAATGTAGTCTTGACTATAAACTGATCTATAGTATTAAAATTTATACTCTCGACTACATACTGATCTGTAGTCTTGTCTATATATAGACTGATCTGTAGACTTTTCTATAGACTTGTATACTGTCTTGACTATAGACAGACTTATCTGTACTCTTGACTATCTTTATGATCCATAGACGTGACTATAGTCTGATCTATTGTCTAGATTATAGATAATAATATTGACGGATCTACAGACTGATATATCTTCATTATAGACTGACCTGTAGTCATGAATATAGACTAATATCTATAGTGTTGACTGCACATAATCTGTACTACAGTGTTGACTATAGAGTGATCTGTAGACTTGACTATAGACTAGTCTGTAGTCTTTAAGAAATCAACAACTATTAACGTTTTAAAAATAATAATAATACCGAACAACCTGATATTTTTAATAGAATAAAAATAATTTAAAAGACTCCACTTTTTTATAATGTCAAAGGAAATACTTCACTCTATCAGAAATAAGTTTTCCAAAACATGTTCTCGATCTTTCAATAATAGTAACTTTATTATAGAATCTAAATTAGTTTCGCTCTGGTGAACTACGACTATTTTAAGACTTTATTTACAACGTTTGAAAGTCATAATTTTATATAACGGTTAATTAAGGAATTGATCCAGAATAACAGAAAATAGATTTTTCTTATACCACGACATTTCTCTAATGTGAACCCATGTTTTTAACAAGTTTTTCTCACTTTCCCTTTTCCACATCCTCTGTTTTTTTATAGCCTGTATACAAACAGCCGGAAAAGATCGCACCACCTATAAACCACTTGAACGCACGATTGACTCAAAAATTACAGATGGAGATACGAATAGTACGTGCAGCGGAAAAGAAGAATCTGTCAACGCCTCAACAAATTATTCAGGCAATAGTGACACTAACAATAACAACAACAGCAACAGTAGCGGCAATAAAAAATCTAATAAAAATAAAACTAAAGAATCAACGACAATCAATAAATCGGAAGAAAGCATACATCCACTATTGGCTCAGGCTGTTGTAGTATTGGAAACAAAATCTTTATGGGATAAATTTCATGAACAGGGTACAGAAATGATTGTAACAAAGTCGGGACGTCGTATGTTTCCCACATTTCAAGTCCGCATTGGCGGTCTGGATCCTCAGGCCACCTATATAATGATGATGGATTTTGTTCCCGTCGATGATAAAAGATATCGATATGCATTTCATAAGTAAGTTGGTTTAAAAATCACTTTTTTTAATTTTAAACAAAAAGGAGTTATACAAGAGAATTAATTTAATTTTCTCTATAAAGTTCCAGTTGGGTTGTTGCTGGCAAAGCTGATCCTATATCACCACCACGTATTCATGTCCATCCCGATTCACCAGCTCCGGGAGCTAATTGGATGAAACAGATTATATCGTTTGATAAATTGAAATTGACCAACAATCAATTAGATGAAAATGGTCATGTAAGTATCAAATTATAAAAAATTTCTTAAAATTAAAAAAAAAAAAAATATTTTTCTTAAAATTTATTTTTTTAATTTATCAACAAATCTATTTTTCACTCTACACTATTTACAGATCATTTTAAATTCTATGCATCGTTATCAGCCACGTTTCCATATTGTCTATTTGCCACCCAAAAACACTTCATTGGATGAAAATGAACACTCAGGTGATTTTCGTACATTTATATTTCCGGAGACTTCGTTTACAGCCGTCACAGCCTATCAAAATCAACGTGTAAGTGTATGAAATTCTTTATGTTTTATTTTGAAAATGTTTCTATTTATCATAAATATGAGATTGCTCTCGAAGAGCAGTGACATCTAAAGAGACACTAATGATGTTTATAACATTGAGATAAATGACTTGTATTTACGTTGAAAAAATCATTTTGAATAATTGTCATTTTTTATTATTTTTAATGAAATTGGACTTCGTATATATTTTTTCTTTAATTTAAAGAAAAAAAAATAAACATTACAGTAAACCCTCTTTAAGCTTGTAGGTGTCATGGATCGAATTAAAAATTTTTTATTTTCGCCGAATAATGAATGAGTATTTGGTAAGATGTTACTTTGTGGAAATTAATGTGTTTTCTCAAAAACTTCGGAATTTGGAGAATATATTAAAGATATTAAGAAATCCAACATTGCTTTGTGGATGACAGATCCATTTTATGTAAACTGAACTATTAACAAGAATAGTTTCGTCTCAATTCTCTCTATGCATTTTTTTAACCTTTTAATTCGAGTAATTTTTTCGTAGAACTCCATAAAATTTGGAAAGATTTTACTTTTTCAAAACTGTATGAATTTTAGTGAAATTTCTTGGAATATTCATAATAGAAAATATTTCTTCAGGTGGAACAAAAGAATTTTCGCGATTATTCGCGAGAGTTCTGAAAAGTTTTTATAATAAATTTATTTAAAATTTATATTTTTTATTTTTTTTTGGCAATTTTTGTTTGTTTCATTACAGGTCACCCAGTTAAAAATTGTAAGCAATCCTTTTGCAAAAGGTTTTCGGGATGATGGAACTAGTGATGCGTAAGTATTTTAATTATATACCGATTGTAAACAAAAACTGTAATTTTATTTGAAAATGGGCGGACTATCAAGAGAGGGTGTGGAAGTTCCTATGACACACCCCCCATGGATTTACATCCATGTGAGCATTTGGGTAATAAAGTAGTAAACTAGAAATGGGGAGCCTAGTAACTCTCATATAAATTATATACAAAAATTCGTATATCTAGGAAACTATTCATAATTTAGATTAAAATCCAAATTAACGTTGAGAATACATTTTCCTTTTTAATTCCGTATAATATTAAATCTTAGGAAAAATTTTAGAAAATGTTCTAAAAACAACTATTTGCAGAATGAGTGCAAACAGAACTACTTCAGATTCTTAAACAACAACCTTGGAACTAGTGGTGTCACCATTACTTCTGGAACCCGTACTTCGGAAAGTTGTTATGGTTCTTAAATACTTCTAAATAGTTTTCAAGGAACTAGTTCTTTGAAACTAGTTATACATTGCTACTACACTAGTTCAATGGAACGCATACTAATTCCGAATGAATCACTGATGAAAGAACTGGTTTCAGAAGCGTTCCGTAGAACGAGTGTCGACTCCATGACAGTTCCACAGAACCAGTTCCAAAGGTGACAATTTCGAACAAAAATCATTGGTCTCAACGCCAAAGTAGAACGAGTACAGGAATTTTTATCTCGAAGTTCTAATTATTAAATCTGACCGGTTTTATTTGTTTATGCAAACAATTAATTTTATCATAATAATGAAATTGAAACTAAAATTGCATCCGATCAGTCTTAGAATAGGAAAAAAATAATTTTCAAGCTCCTCGGTTTATATTTTGTTGAGTTCTCAAAGCTTCTTTATCAAAACAATGAAACATGCTTAAAATACCATTAAAATGCTTGCTACTTACAAATAATCGTATCGTCTCCAAAAACAAATTTAAAATTTTGTTATTTTTAATGAAATTCTAAAAAAAAATCACTTGGAAATTTAAAACTAAACAAATCATTAAACAACATTCAAAATTCTTTATAAAATGAGAAAAAAGAATGAAATGAAATTATATGGAAAATAATTTATATGAATTATGACCGCGTGTTAACGATATGTGCGCCCACTTTGTGCTTTGACGAAGCTATAACTTTTAAAATATGTATATGGAAAAAGCTAAACCATACGTCTGTCCTTTCTCCTCCAACTGTCAGACACTTGGTAAGAGATCTGTGTTATTAGAATTAAAGATTTTTTTTGGGTTAAAAAATAAACAATTATTTGTTTAAATATTTAAGAAAAGGGCTTTTGGTAACAAACACTTAACAGATTTTGATATTTTTTTTTTAATAATTTAAGAACTTATATTTTCTTTAAATAATTAAAAATAACAAACAACATTTTTTTATAAGAAAAAACACACATGTGTTTGTTGTACGAAGGCAAACTATTTGTTTATAGAAAAATTAAACCAAAAAAAAAAAAAAATCAATATGCAAAAGAAATAAAAATAAAAAAATATGTTTTTCTGTCTGTCTGATTTTTTATTGTTTTTGTTTTTTGTTATTTTTGCCATTTCAGAACAACGGGCATGAATCAAATGAGCCATGAATCACATGCCAGAATGAAACAACACCACAATGCCCAACAGCAGCAGCAACAACAACAACAACACCATCAACAGCTTCACCAACAACAGCAGCAGCAACAATTAAAGGCCCATATCAAAGATGTTAATACAGTGGCTGAAATGGAAAATCATCAAAATTCCCTATTAACACATGTGGCCACAACAACATCACCAAATCACATGAACACTTCATCTTCTACCCCCTCCTCCACTACAGGCACTTCACCAGATTTATTAAATTATCAGTCGCTAACAACAACTACTGCAAATCCCTTAACTGGTGGACACATGAATGGTAACTGTATATCACCTAAAACAGATCATTCTCATCACAGTTCCACTAGTTCACCTTATGGTGGTGGTCACTCTCATCATACTACGAATTTAGTGGGTTTAACATCTATGCCCGGTTCGCATCATACTACCACACATCTCAATTTGAATCTCAATACTCAAGTAGTGCCTCAACAGACCTCTCCTCCCGCTCATCACCAACATGGCCAAATGTTAAGTTCTAACAATATTTACTCATCCATTGGCCAGCCTTATACCACCGATAATAGTAGTTATGGTCCTATATATCATCATCATCACAATGCCGCCCACTATCATGGTCATTCTTATGCCACGCCTTATGATAAACTTAAAGTTTCGGGTCATATGCGTCAAACACATGGCGTTACAAATACCACACTCAGTGGCAATAGTGTTACAACCCCCTCTCCCAATTCCTACAGCATGAGTAGCTATCAATCGTTTTATGGTTCTCCACATCAAATGATGCGTCCCGGTGGTTACATAGATTTAGTTCCCAGATAAATATTAATAACAAAACTAAACATAAAGTGCAATTAAGCCAAAACCAAAGATTATTTTATGTCTAGTATTAAAACAAATAATAAATAAATATTTGAAATTTATAATAAAATATAAACATTTTCATGATAAAAACAGAAGAATCTAAAGAAAGTATTGAAAGTGTTAAATCATCTTCTTTTGCAAGTATTATTTCAACGTACATACGACGTGTTTCCTTAACAATTTTTCATTCTTTTTTTATATATATTTTTTAATTTTTTTTGTAATATTTTTAGTCAATTCTTAATTAATAATAAAATATACTGTAAATAATTTAAATTTAAATAAATTTTTAACTTAAAAAAAAAAACTGTTGTGCAAAACTAATTGGATAAAACTTTTTAAAAAAGATAAGTTAAAGAGGAAAAGTTTTAGAATTTATTCTAAATTAGTCAGGAATACCGGTCATTTTTAAATAGGATGGCGAGACATTCAACAGTTGTGTTCAAATGGGTACGGGGACACGGGGGTTTGATAGGCAACTGTTTAGCAAAATAGGCGCCTCAATGTCTGACAGGGACATAGACATCTTTTAAGGCATTCCGCTAAAAGCTTTCGAACAACAACTTGATAAAAGATTCCATGAACTTTCCCAGGCAAGATGGCGCAACGAACCAACTTGCACTACCACCAGGAAGATAATGCCAAATTTAGATAGTAATCGCACGTCATATCTCTTTCAATTATGTCACAGCAATCTAGTTGCTGTCATCACAGAACACTGTTTATTTGGAAACCATGCAAGAAGACTTGGCATACCATGCAAGAAGACTTGGCCGCCCTAAGGACTGTAACGGGCTGCCTACAAATTACATCGGAACATCACCTGAACGAGGAAACGAAGGTCCTCCCAGTCAAGGAACACAATGTCATGTTGACTAAACAGTTCCTGGGATGTCATCGGAGAAGTCATCCCAATTTTAACATCACACAATTGGATACTCCCCCGAGGCATGTCGGGAAGGATCTTCGTATATACGAGAAAAACATATGCAGATATGTGCGGGATCCACTGGATCAGTCCTCGTATTCGGCAGCTTTGAAGGACATTCATAGAGACGCCATAAATTCCGCGGTCGCAGGATACCGCATGAATGTCGTACTTGGAGGTCGCCCAACGCCCATAGCAGACACGGAAGAAAATCTGCCGCAGAAAATAAGAGTAGTTCTGGCACAACTAAGATCGGGATGGAGCAACAGGCCCAATGCCTACTGGTCACGTATAGACCGTGCCGTCCCCAACGAATGTCCTGCATGTGGTCAGGGTCCTCATGATACCCACCACATATTTAACTGCTCAGCCAACCCTACTTCACTCTGTCCAATGGATTTATGGACGCATCCAGTTGAAGTAGCCCAATTTTTAGGCCTGGACATTGATGTAGAAACCCCCAACTAGATTATTGTATAGTTTTAGCTGTTACAACAACAACAACAACTTGGCATACCCAAAACGACTTCTGCAGAAGCAGGCAGGATGAAGAAGAGTTAGAATCCGTAGAATATTTTCTCTGTCATTGCCCCGCTTTAGCAGGCACTCGCTTCGAAATATTTGGAAGACGAATTTTTGATGACTTGACAGAATTAACCAGTTTAAGATAGGAAAATATTAACGCCTTTATCAGGCACAGCGATTGGTTTTGAATACATCTAGCCATGTTATTCTACTTTCTCTTCTTTCTGTCTAAAATAACAACTTACAAAAACGTTAATACGATCGTAATGCTGAATACACAATCGTAAATCATTGAAACACAATGGAATCGCTTCTTCTTTTTCTTACGATTCCGGTTTTTTGTTGGGATACCTCATTCCAATCGTTGCGTAACTGAATAGGTAATACGTATGTATCGAAAAATATATAAAAAAGGTTCAGAGAAGAAGTTGTGATATTTTTCTGGACAATATTTTTGTTTATGCCAATATTACTTATAATGTTTATAATTCCGATTGATTCTGAAATTAATATCAAACATATCAAAGAAGATATGTCTGATGTTAAGCCTTCATTTTAAAGCTGACAGATGTCGTAACGTCTGGCGTTGTTATAACATCTCAAAAAGGGCAAAAAATGAAGTTTTCTTCAAACTTCAAGACATGATATCTCAAATCCCAGGTGAGAAAATCATATTCAAATTCAGCGCCGCTCAATCCTTTAAAACTTGGTCTCAGAGTTTCGACTTTTTTCAAATTTAGTCGGCCTGTGTAATTTTTAATTATTTTGTTCGAATTGTAAAAAAATTCCAACTTTAAAAAAGTTTCGGTGCGATTTCATCCTGAAACGTTTTCTCTTGAACTTAGCAATTAACTAAAACTATTTTTTGAACATTTAAAGATTAATTATATTCTCTTACAAAAATCTATTTTTATATAGTAATATTTGTTTAACAAAAATTACTAAATTACTTCAAGAAACACCCTTTGACCTTGATTTCATAAATTCAATACAAACTGTCAAACAAAAGATTCAGTGAAATTTTTTCAATATTGATTGTTCTTAAGTCGAATAACAGATCAAATGATACTTTTCTGACACATTGACACAGAAAGCGAAAGTGACACACAGAAATGTCAAATATGACAAACTAAAAAATAAGAGAAAATCATTAGCTACACATGTTTTATGGGATAATCAGATGCTAAAGTCATTAGTTACAGTTACGACTAAATATTTTAGAACTATTTAGGTAAAATTGAGATTTTTTTAGAATAGAAGAAAACTTAATGAATTTAAAGTAATTTAAAAGTGCTTGTGTTCAAATATATTTTTTTGAGGAGCTTGAGTGTCCAAAAACTATTTACAATTTCAATATTTTGTAAAATTTTTGGCACAACTCGACAGGTTTCGAAGTATTAAAAGTTTTTATAAGTAAAGATTTTTAGGACCCTCAAACAAATTTACAAAAAACTCTTAACCATAACAAATTTATATCACGTGCCAGTTTTGTATACCTCAAAATCGAGTGAAACCAAATACAAAGTATTAAACAGGGGGCGGGACAAAAAAATTAAAAAAAAACACACACACACAACTCGTTAAAATAAAAGTGAACAGAAACATACCACAATTACAATTAGATGACAAGGTATGTCGAGTACAAATAACACGAAATAATTGTGGATTTAAATATAAACCAACAAAAAAAAAATCATATAAATATTGTACTAAACAGGGAAGAGAAAAAACAACTCGTCTCAATATATACTATAGAAGGGGTGTATGCTTGACTTGCTAACATCAAAGATCGCTCAACCACTTGAATATGAAACAAAAACAATAAATGTGTTGTAGTTGTTTAAACAACACCAGCAACAAACATATCACAGACTACGTATCCGATGTGTCCGTCGTTATATGCAGCACATAAATTTAACATACAGTTAAGTGTAAGTGTCAAGAATGTGTTTCAGATACGAACACAATCCCTAATATGTTGCAACTTGCAACAATATCAGATGGTTGGTTATTTAGGGGCATCAAGTTGAATTGTACCTAATTGTTTATACAAATAAGGTTTCTCAATTTCTGAAATGCCAAACAAAAAAAACATAAGAAAGAATATTTTAAAGTGATTACTTTCACAGGCCTAAGCAAAAGATACAATTGTAGCAGAGTATTACAAAGATGTACAAATAATATTATAGAAGAACTTGAAAGAATTCTTTCATAAAATTAAAATAAACTATGGTAAGAAATTTAAGGTTATGGAATGCTTTCTAAAGATCTATTTTTATATTGATGTTTATTTTATAAACACCCTTTGACCTTGATTCCGATTGATCGTTGATCCTCAGGAGGTCATGTTATGGACGCGTATTAGGTTATAAGGTGTCTGTCGAAATCAAGATAGTGTAAGAAAGGGAGTACCAGAAGGGCTAACATTTTCCATAAATATTCTCCATAGATGTTATGTTTTGTTTGGTACTGAAAAGTAGCTCAACGATTTTACTTAGTCACCATAAAAGTTGCCCTCCTCATAGGCCGTAATATTCTAAATGGATTTAATGACGATAGGTCCATAATTAGCTTCCATATTAGGACCCTTTCGAAAAATTTCTTTAACATTCAAAGCAAGAATTAAAATACTAATATAGAGATGAAGTTAAACAAGTTTTATAAGAAACAATATGATAAGCAATCCATAGTTGTTCCTATGCCCCCTATTAAAATACCTCAACTAGAAAAAATCAATTTTCTATAAATCGTTTAAAAATTATGGAATTAAGATAAAATTCAACAAAAATAATTAGTTTTAGGATATGTATAGCTCCATAAAATTATGTAGAACACGGTCCACCTTTACGACGCACCAATCGACATCTGTTTAAGAATCACCCCTATTCTTCATTTCAATTCGAATCGATATTTTCTCCGTTTGGCAACTTTGGTATTCTGAATTTCGATTTGAAGCTCAGTCACTAAAATAACAACTTAGACAAACGTAATTACGATCGTAATGCAGAATACACACCATCGTAAAGCAATGAAATGGAATTTGGTTTTCTTTTTCTTACGATTCCGTTTTTATACCAATTTTCGATCGTAGCGTACCTGAATGCGGAATCATAATCGAAATGAAGAATAGGGGTGAATCGAAATGATAAATGGTCGAGCAAATTTTTGGATTAAGGAATTATTTAGTTAGTCAGTCAGTTCGTTAGTCAGGTAGATAGTTAGTTAGTTAGTTAGATAGTTAATTAATTAGTTAATTAGTTAGTTAGTTAGTTGGTTAGTTAGTTAGTTAGTTAGTTAGTTAGGTAGTTAGTTAGATAGTTAGTTAGTTAGTTAGTTAGTTAGTTAGTTAGTTAGTTAGTTAGTTAGTTAGTTAGTTAGTTAGTTAGTTAGTTAGTTAGTTAGTTAGTTAGTGTTTATAACTTAATTTTTACCATCAAGTCATTTTTCTAAAGGGGTAGGGTTAATCGAGACCCTATGATTACGAAAATCAGCAGTATCATTAAGACATTTATAAAAATAAGTTTTGACGATTTTTGGAGTGATACAAAAACATTTTACGTATATTTGAGCTCAAAAGACCAACGGTTGTATGGGGGCTATACGAAATAATGGACCGATTTTCCAAATTTCATCTAATTATCTTGAAAATTTCGACCTGTAGAAATCGACTCAGAAAGTGATCCGATCCGAGTGATCCGATTGGTATACTTCAAGGTGGCACCATCAA